AGGGTGTTCCTTAATGATATGCGAATATTTAAGGTAGTATATCATAATTCGCAACACGTCTTAGCCAGTTGATAAATTAGAGTGGGTCGCCGGAAATCAGGCTACTATGTTAAACGACATAATTGGTATTTAGTCGAGAACCACGAAAAAATATTTAAATTGCTAAAATGAACAAAGCCTGCATACAAATCATCATTATCCATCTGTCCTGGATTATAGGGTTATATACTAGTGTGCATACTCGGATACAGTATATAATGTCATACAAAGAAATTGATGCAAAAGTTCCCCTCGGGGTACCGGTGAAATCATCATATAACATTATTCTAGAATGGAATGCACCATGAATACGCCAGTACTATACAGGGTGTTCCTTAATGATATGCGAATATTTAAGGTTGTGAATCTACATGAAAAATTAATGTTAGTTTGCTTTATAAACTATAGTCCAAAAATGTTTCCTTACAAAAACTCGGGGTGTTGAAGTTTTAGGAAAAAAATGGAAATTAATTAATATTTTCAGAACCGCTTCAGATATTTCACTGATATTCAGTATGTAGTGGTAGTTACTAAAGTTGCATATTTTTCAATGCAAAAATAATTTTTAGCTTTAACAGTGGCGTGCGTACGGGTATTGAATTCGTTATTTTTTAAGAAAAAAATGGTACGCCAATGGTTTTTGCCAAATAAAAATTATTTTTGAATTCCCCGTTCAATTTAAAACAAATAATCTCTGTTAAATTGTTTTCTTTTGATGCGCCACTTTTGAGTAAAAAATTAAAAACCGTTCTATTGTCCGAGAAAATTAATGTAATAATTGAAGAATGCAATTTAGCAATAAATATCGAGTTGCTCTGGAATATGTCGCTGGGTTTTGATATCTGACATGTCTCTGTTATTCAAATCTGTTAGCAGTGACATCTTTTTCATTATATAGTTTTTACAATCTTGTTAATAATGGTGAATTACGTGTATGGCCTTGCCGACGGTAATGTTGAGCAAGCCAGACGGATTTATTACCAGAGGTATCCCGATCGTGCTTTGCCAGATAGTCGAACATTTTCTAATACTCATCGTCATCTTGTTGAAACTGTTTCTGTCCGAAAAGGAACATCTAAGTGTGAGAACACCTGAAATTGAGGAAGCAGTGCTGCACGAAGCCGAAGAACATCCTGAAACGAGTATGAGGAAGATCGCTAGACACTTAAATATTTGCCATCAAATTGTTTGGAGAATTTTAGTGGATTTTTTGTTATATATCCTTACCATATTTTAAAAGTACAGGTATTACTTTCCATTGATTTTCCAAGGCGTGTGACCTTTTGTCAGTGGTATCTTCAAAAAATTACACATAATCCGCAATTTGAATCAATGATTCTGTTCACGGACGAAGATAGTTTTTCTCGAAATGCCATTCAGAATGTCCACAATAATCATTTGTGGGCAGAAGAAAATCCCTATGCCGTTACCGAAACCCACTTCCAACATCAATTTTCGGTTAACGTATGGGAAGGAACTATTGGCAACCACTTTATTGGCCCATTCTTCTTGCCGGGACGACTTGACGGGCAGACTTACCTCAATTTTCTTCAACAACAGTCGCCTTTGCTGCTTGATGATGTTCCGTTAGTAATAAGAAACAATATGTGGTACATGCATGATGGTGCACCAGCGCATTTCAGTGTACCGGTTCGTAATTATGTACACACTGTTTATCCAAATCGTCGGATTGGCCGCGGTGGACCCCAAGGTCCCCAGACCTCAATAGTTTATATTTATTTTCGTGGGGCTATCTTAAGACACTAGTGTAGACAAGTCTCATTAACACTGTAGAGGAATTAACAGAGAGAATAGTTGCAGCTTGTGATGGAATAAATATACACTCCAGGGATATTTCAACGAGTGCGCAATTACATGACTAGGAGGGCGGAAACATGGATACTAAATGAAGGGGGCCATTTTCAACAATTTTTTTAGTCTTTTCGTTGGTTTTAATGTTATGTTTATGTTGTAAAGTTGTTGTTGTTCATTAACCCTAAAGTATTTAATTTTTCCAATTAAATTCATAATAATTTTGCAAGTTAGACAATAGAACGGATTTTATTTTTTTATTCAAAAATGGCGCATCGAACACAAACAATTCACAAGAGATCATTTGTTGTAAATTGAACGGGGAATTGAAAAATAATTTTTATTTGGCGAAAAACAATTGGCGTACAATTTTTTTCTTCAAAAATATCGAAGCCAATACCCGTATGCACGCCACTGTTAAAGCTAAAAATTATTTTTGCATTGAAAAATATGCAACTTCATCAACTTCCACTACGTACTAAATATCAGTGAAATATCTGGAGCGGTTCTGAAAATATTAATTACTTTCCATTTTCTTATAAAACTTCAACACCCCGAGTTTTTGTAAGGAAAGATTTTTGGACCATAGTTTATAAAGCAAACTAACATTAATTTTTCATGTAGATTCACACCCTTAAATATTCGCATATCATTAAGGAACACCCTGTATAGTACTGGCGTATTCATGGTGGTACATGACGCATTCCGTTCTAGAATAATTTTATATGATGATTTCACCGGTACGCCGAGGTGAACTTTTGCATCAATCTGTTTGTATGACATTGTATACTGTATCCGAGTATGCACACTAGTATATAACCCTATAATCCAGGACAGATGGATAATGGTGATTTGTATGCAGGCTTTGTTTCTTTTAGCAATTCAAATCTTTTTTAGCGCTTGTCAACTAAATACCAATTATGTCGTTTAACATAGTAGCCTGGTTTCCGGCGACCCACTCTAATTTATCTACTAGCTAAGACGTGTTGCGACTTATGATATACTCTGATTTTATTCTTTTAGACAATATCGACACTGCAAATATTATTAAACACTACAATAAGATACAAAAATGTAACAGACACAGATGTACATAGTGTGATTGTTACAAAGCACACTCTCTCACGTTCACGAACAATTATTCAGAAGGACGAGGCAGGAACGTATTTTCAAAATAGTGGCACTTCCGGTTATTCCAGAAGTAGATACCAACTTGCTTCTCCAAGATAGGACACTCTGTATATTATTCCATTTTTGGATTCTATGCGATATTCCAAATATGATAGTCATTATTTAAATGGGTGATAGAGACAATTAAAAGAAGCAAAAAGTTTCATATAACATGGTGGTCAAAACGGCATTTTTTTTTAGGGAAAAGCGCTTTTAAAGTAAAATAAAATCTGACAACTCCGTAATGCCAGACGCAAATTACGACGGAACGCAGTATAAATAAAAATGGAGTTTGTTATTTTTGGCTCTTAGGTATTATTTCTTTATTTGATAATGTACTCGTAAAATGCAAACAATTAAAAAAAACAGACTTACCACTAACTGTCTCAGCGATTCACCTGGTCTGTGAAAGTTTACTGAACGTATTAAAAAAAATCCACTTATAAATAGGGAACACAATTTTGATACATACATTGATTTTCTTTTTAAAAGTCACACTGCACTTTTTTTGTACTAAAGAAGGTGTTCAAAATATCGTCCTCCATTTTCCACACAAGCTTCATTACGACGAACCCAGTTTCTTCTTACTCTAGGTCCTCGAAGTTGTCCATATATTATTTCAGCTGCATTAAATTTTTCTCGCAAAGTCTTGCTTCAGTTGTTATTGGACCAGCCCCATAAACCATCCCTTTAAGTTCTCCCCAATACCAGAAATCCATCGGATTGAGGTCAGGAGATCTTGCTGGCCATTTTCGAGGATCAGGAGCATTTAGACCGATCCAGCGATTTGGATAATGTTCATTCAAATACTGAATGACGCCTCTAAAAATGAGTGGTGGTGCCCCGTCATGAAGAAACCACAAATTCTGTCTCTGTTGTAATGGCATGTTGTCTAAGGTCTGTTCCAAAAGTTCTGGTAGGTTATTGGCTAGAAAGCTAAGGCCCACGTGTGAGTATTATGGAAATTTAATATCCCGTCTCGCGTAAAAGGACATTCGTCCGTCGCTGGAATGTTTTTGAAAAAATCCGGATTTTCAATGTTTTTGTGCAAAAACCACTGACAGAATATTAGTCTGCGAGGATAGCCTTCTGGTAACAAGGCCTGAACTCGATATACATGGTAGGGATAAAGCAAATTTTCCCGTAGGATTCTATGGACTATGGTATGCGATAATCCTACGCGGCGGCCTAATTCCCGAGTGCTGATATCTGCATTGATTTCCCTGATATTTAAAATTTGTTCCTCCTGCTCTACAGTATTCTGTCTTTCACGAGTGCGAATATTAGTGGACTAAACACTTCCTGTATCTCGAAGTCTTTGGTACACTTGCACAAATGTCCTTCTGTCTGGGTGTACCCGTTGGCAAAATCTGTCGTGATAAATTTGAGCTGCTAGGTTTGAATTCTGACGAGCTTCACCGTAAACTAACAACATGTCGGCGAACTCTTGATTCGAAAAAATTGTGAATAAAGACGGCGACGTACGCGAACAAAAACAAAACAACAGGCCCGATGCCCGATAACTAACCACTGTTACAGTTTGCGATCTATTGCCGGTTCGATAAAGAGTGATGAAACGCCGACGCGCTGTTGTCATGTGTGTTTTGAATATTTAATTTGATGAAACTTACTGACTTCAAATTTTGGCTTAACTTAGAAAAAGTTAATGCCATTTATTTGTTAATTACCCATTACCCATTAGATTGTAAAAATTAGTAAGATTGTGGTGATTGTGCTCGATATAAAGCACTTAATGTTGTAAACTATAAAAAAAGGCAAAAATCCATTGACTTTTGGGCCATGGGTCATATGAACTTTTTGACTTGTTTTGACACCCCTATTATCCATTTCAATAATGACTACCATAACGTTTACATCCTGTATATTCTTCAATAAGCATTCATTTGTTTAAAAAAAAAGTTTTTTTAGAATATATGATATTGCAGATATGTAATGATACATAATATATGACCACTTACCAAATGGTACCCACTTAGGTTGAGAAGGCTCAGCTTCTTCTCTAGCAGAAGCCATAGCTCTACGTATGGCCAAAGGAACGGAAATTGAAAGGCAACAAGGAGGTTCACCTACAGCTGAAAACATACAGTGCAAAATAAGTGTTGTTATAACGGGTGATTTTTTAAGAGGTATAGGATTTGATTTTAAAAAAACACAAAAAATTTGAAAAAACAATTAAATCTTTATTTGAGCTGATAGAACGGTTGATATAATTTAATGTTTAAATATTATTTCATGTAAATGTTGGCCGCGGCTCCGCTTTAGATGGCCCATGCGCAAAGTCCAATTTTGGCACACTCTCTCCAACATATCGGCCGGTATCTCACGAATAACTGCTTCAATATTGTCTTCCAGTGCGTCAATCGTTGCTGGTTTATCTCTGTAGATATTAGACTTAACATGGCCCCACAAAAAATAGTCCAGCGGCGTTAAATCACGTGATCTAGGCGGCCAATTGACGGGCCCCAAACGTGAGATAAACTGTTCATCGAACTCGCCTCTCAATAGGGCCATTGTTTCGTGTGCGGTGTGGCATGTGGCACCGAGTTGTTGAAACCACATGTCAGCCAAGTCCAGCTTTTCCATTTTGGGCAAAAAAAAAGTTTGTTATCATCGCACGGTAGCGCTCGCCATTCACAGTTACGTTCCGGCCATTGTCGTCTTTGAAGAAGTACGGCCCGATGATGCCACCGGCCCATAATCCACACCAAACAGTGATCTTTTCGGGATGCATTGGTAGCTCTTGCAATGCTTCTGGCTGGTCTTCACTCCAGATGCAGTAATTTTGCTTGTTAACGTACCCATTCAACCAGTAATGAGCTTCGTCGCTGAACACAATTTTTCGATAAAAATGTGGATCTTCCTCCAACTTTGCCAGCGCCCTTTCACCAAATTGGAAATTGTTGTGGGAGATCGTGTGGCCTCAATTCTTGCACCAGCTGTATCTTATAAGGTTTTACACCCAAATCCTGTCGCAAAATTGTCCACGTAGTGGAGTAACAGAGGCCCAATTGCTGCGAACGGCGGCGAATCGACATTTCACGGTCATCACTAACACTGGCGGATACAGCCGCAATATTTTCTTCAGTCCTCACTCTACGTCTGCGTGTTGGTGGTTTAATGTCCAATAATGTAAACTGGGTTCGAAATTTAGTCACAAGCTTCCCAATAGCTCCCTCAGTAGGCCGACCAAATTGCCCATAAATTGGAAGCAGTGCTCGATGCACTCTCTTAACCGAGCATGAACTTTGATAGTAAAATTCAATAATTTGCAAGCGTTGTTCGTCCGTAAGTCGATTCATGGTTAAATTATAGACCAAACTGAACAAGTTTGACAATGATACAAGACACGATTCACGCGTCATCTGTCAAAAACAGTGTTGCCAAAATGATACTAGCAAAAAAATCACCCATTACTTTGGACATTCGAATAAGGTGACAAATATACAGGGTGCCCTCAAAGTTGGGACTTTCGTTTACAGAGCGTATACGTAAGGCAATAATAAGAAGGTATTTGTAATAATCCATATACCAAAGCTTTTTTTACACCGCAGCAGCTGCGCCTAAATACCAGGACAGCGCGGCTGCTTGAAGAAACTTTGTTAATCCGATTTTTGAACTGCCTAAGGTTAGTAGAACTTGTTATCTCTCCAAAACTAAGTTAGTTGGTCGGGTGAGGTTCTTGGTATCTTGGTTTTTGGAAGCAAAGCGGTTGCGGCTTGGGCAACTAGGAAGTGAAATAACGAGTAACAAGGTTGGGTCTGTGGAGCTAAGGAGACACAAATTCACAAGGTACACACATTTATTGAACAAAAAAATAAAAAAAATTAAAGAGAAGTCCTGGAGGATAGGGTAAGAAAATTATTTTGCATTATCCCCTAGCTAAATGGTTTCCCGTAAATATTAAAATAAAATGAAAAACCACCTATGCAGCTATTAACGGAAGGCAACCGAGTGCAGGAAGCCCCAGACGTAACCTGAAGGTAGAACCCGAAGGTGGAACCCGAAGGTAGAACAGAAGGTAGAACCCTCGAACAATGAGCGTTCACAAAAATGGGGAACTACTCCTCACAGCCTTAAATTCGCCTCGGATTATCCCTGCAGACGGTTCCCCTCATCTAGATGGTTGAGTGTAGTTATGTCCCCAAGAGCGCGAGAAAAAGGCTCCGACAAAAAAACCATCAAGATTTCTAATAAAAACCCCACCACCCTATAAATCCACAGCGCTGCGTGTAAAACTATTCCTCAAAATCGGGTAGTGGGCCGCGGAATTCCTTCACCAGAGCACCGGAAATAGCACCAAGTTACCATCAGCTCTCGTATTTAAGGTCGACTTGTAAAAACTGACCTTTTTTTAAATATATATACAGAGTGGCGCATCGAAAAAGAAACAGACGCATTTACTGGCAGCTCAGTTTTTTTTGAAAAACGCTCAGACCCGTCGATTTTGTTTTCGAGGGGGACACAAGTTTGGCAAAAAATCACGTTAACACGTGCAGCCCTCTAAGCGGTGCTGACACCACCCCCAAAATCAGAAATGGAAAGGGGGGTCGAGTGATACCTTATTTAAAAGGTCTTTCAATTCCCTCTATAATGATATAAAATTAATGTACTTCAGTTCAGTAGTAATTTGAAGGCACTCATTCACAATTCTTTGTCGCAGGTCATGTTTGCTGAGTAGCATAGATTTTGCTTTTTAAATGACCCCACATAAAGAAATCCAAAAGTGATAAATCTGGCGATCTTGGGGGCCATTCAATGGCACCTCTTCTACCAATCAACCCAGCGATCTGGAAATGTCTGATCTGAATACTGTCGAACACGTAATGCGTAATGTGGTGGGGCACCACCCTGTTGGAGCATCAATCTATTCGCAATGTACCGCCGATCATACTGATTTTCAATTATGGCTGTTAATGCAGGATCTATGGCGTCTTCCAGTAATTCCAAATACATTCCACCGGTCCAATTTCCAGGTAAGAAAAAAGGACCAACTAAATGATCGCCAAACATTTAATTTTTGTGGCTGCTGTGTATGAACCTCATGATAAATTCTGGGATTAGAATCGGCCCAATAACGGCAGTTATGACGATTTACTACGCCATTTAAGAAAAAGGAACATTCGTCGGAAATGCAAGTGTTGAATAGAAAATGTTCATCGTTTATAATTCGTTTACTCATATCCTCACAAAATTGTAATCGCCGATCAAAATCGTCTTCAATAAGTTCTTGTACCAGGTGAATTTTATACGGATGAAAACTATGGGCCTTTAGAATCCGTTGGACAGTACGTCGACTAACACCACACACAGTCTCCAATTAGCGGGTACTTAACGTAGGATCTACATAAACTTGCCCTAAATCCCCCACTTCTATTGCTTCGTTCCTTATGGGATTTTCAATGTTGCGTTTTTTATTGGCAACTGACCCAGTTTCCCGAAATTTAGCTACGAGTTCTAGAACATATTTTCGATGCACGTTACTGTTCTCATGTTGTTCATTAAATATTTCTGCTGTTCTATTAGCGCACTGATTATTTCCGAAAAATATTTCGATAATTTCAACTCTTTCTGCTGTGGAATATACCATGGTTAAGGCGTTACAAGTTATTTTAGCAACAAAGTTTGGTCAAATCAATCGCAAACTATGTACTAAATTCCTATTTAATTTAAGAACTTTCGAATTGCTTGCAAATCCGTCCTCACTATAAACTGCATTTTTTCAAAAATGAAAGACAGAGTCCCGCTGCTTGGCTTAACCAACACAGTCTACTCCATCAATTGCAACAACTGCAACCAAATATACATAGGTCAGACCTCCAGATCTCTTAAACGAAGGATTACATCACACAAAAGTGATTCTAGGCTTCATCCTGAAAGATGCGCTCTAGCATCTCATGTTAACACAACAGGGCACTCTATGAATTGCACAAGTATCAAAGTTCTTGATAAAGAAAAACACCTATCCAAACGTTCATTCCTGGAAATGTCCCACATTTTCATGAATAACAACTGTATCAACAAAAAGACAGATGTTAAGCAACTGAGTGTCATTTACTCATATTTGCTAAACTGCGAAAAATTGGAGAACTTACATATCTCCCCAAATTTTGACTCTTCACAACCATAAATGGAATCTGTTTCTTGGTCGATTTCACCAATAAACTTCATTCCACTTAAATTCTGATAATTTTCTCCTCACGATTTAATAATAATTGTTAATTTAATTTCCCATTAATTAAAATATAGTTAATTCAACTGCCTCTGGTCGGTTTAACAATTTCTTACATAACATTCTGAAAATCACATCATCTGAAGTGATTTGGCAACGTTGGCACACGCCCACAATTCGTTCCATCTTTCTACACAGACATTGACAACCTTCGGCCTTCTGTCAAAGGGTTCATCTCACTCATTATTCCATGACCACCATTTTGTGCAATCATCAAGTGGCTTCACGATGTAATGCTTTCATGTTTTTTAAAAAAAAATTTAATCTGTTTTTAACTTGTTCTTGTCACACAATTGTGTATATTTTATATAATTTTGACCATTGTACCATCTATCCAGCTTTCACCATGTTACTGGGCGTTTCCCTCATCCTAAGCGTAAACAACAATTAGCAACATCCTCACATACTACTGTAAGTTAAGTCAATTTAAATTCATTTTACACTATTGTTGCTACTATTATCATTGTAATTGCAGCTCCTGATGATGATGGCAAAGTCCATTGAAAGCTAGAGAGAATTAAAAGAAGTATAAAGAGTCCTCTTTGCTTAAATTTTGTCGAAGTACCCAACAAAAGGCGGAAGCTTTAATTTTTCACCTATATATATATATCGAAGCAGCCTCGCAGGCAGAAGCCTAAATGCCGGAACACCGCGTCTGCTATGATGATCCCAAAGAAATTTTGTTAATACGATTTTTGAACTACCTAAGGTTAGTAGAACTGGGAAAAGCTTCCTCTTGTAGATTGTTCCACAATCTCGACACCCTCGAGACAAAGGAGCGGTCGTATCGGCCAGTTCTGGATGTACGAAGTTCGACACGGTTAGGATGGGACGCCAAAGTCAGGCGGATCTGTATGGCAGGCACATCGCTCGGCGGCATTATGGAAGAGAGCTCTGAGGAGGAAAGCCCGTTGATGTAGCGGTAGAAGAGAGCTAGATCGCCGACGGCACGCCCGTCAGAAAAGATCTCGAGAGTGTCTGTTAGAGAAAAAACTGTCCGATGACTATAGGGTGCGGTGAAATCTGGAATTAGATGGGGTTCAATGGGTATCTCCTTTATTTGAAGTCCTAGGGGGTTGAGACTTCGTAGATCAGGGACATTCCCAAATACCACCATGCGATCTTGCCAGATTATACATACTTTTCTTAGACTAAGAGAAAACATAAATATCGCACAAGTACGTATATATTCTTACACCTGCTTGAAGCATGTTGTTGGTACTCTCTGGACTCAGTTACGTGTTAATACAATTTAATGTAGAACTTATCGAAATAACGTACGAGTGATGTCTTTTAAGTTTTGCATATAGAAACATAGTAGGCCGCGCGGATCGAACGTCAGTACTTAATCTTAACCTCACCCTTTAGTAAACTTAAATTCAAAGTTTTACAACAATACGTGCAGCGTTCTCAAGAATTAGGAGTAAGAAAATTAGTTTCTCGTTGGATACCCCACCTGTTGAATGAAGAGCAGAAAGCAGCCAGGGTTAATTGGTGTCAAAAAACGTCAATTCCCGAATCTCAAAAAATGTGTACAGCATTGTTAGTGGTGATCAATCGTGGATTTGTGTCAAAAGCGGGTTATATTGCAACAATTCCTCTTAATAAGCAAAGAACTGTTACTGCGGATTGGTATACCACCATTTGTTTGCCAAAAGTCATCACCGAGCTTCGAAAAATCAACCCAGAAAGAAGAATCATCCACCAACACAATGCAAGCTCGCACACAGCCCAAAAAACAAGGCAGTATTTAACGGAAGAGAACGTGGATCTAAGTCCTAACGATTTCTTTACTTTCCCGAAAATTAAAAACAGACTGCGTGGTCAAAGGTTTCAGTCACCAGAAGAAGCAGTTGACGCGTTCAAAAATGCCGTTTTGGATCTGCCAGCAAACGAGTGGAATGAGTGCTTCGAAAATTGGTTCGAGCGCATGCAGATGTGTATTAATATTCGTGGAGAATACTTCGAAAAACAATAAAGTCATTTAAAACTACCTACCGTGTTGTTTTATTTCCATATGCAAAACTTAAAAGACATCCATCGTACTTGTTTGGCGAAGAGGCTTTTCGTGCAGAACAGTGAGTCGAAGCGCTTTGCAACTGTTAACTGTACCAGTTATTAGATGAATATTTTTTGTTAGTGGTCATACGCACAGGAAAATAACGAATGTTTTGTTGTCTAAGGACTCAAAGTTTAGCCCATTCTAATCATTACTTACCCTTGGATTTCAGAATGCCTACAGGATTTGGATTATTCTGCGGGAATTTGATTCTGTAGTTAACCGGAATGTCCATCATTCCAGGAACTCTATAGTTCCAAGTTCTGTTCGATCTCAGTCGACCCTGGGGATCGAAGATGCATTGTTCAATGGTGTAATAGCCAATACCTGTAATCAAAATATTTTATGATCACTTGAACAGGTTGTCCCGACCGAGCGAGGACGGAGTATTGATGCTTAATGGAAACTACTCAAAGTAAACTGTTTACGGAATTATATATGATATCTGTAGGCATATTTCTGAGATACTGAAAATTATTCAGGGTGTCCAATTTTGATCAACATATCAGAGTTGATATTTTAAATACACTTTACATTACGTACTCGGATAGACTCTTTTAAAAGGAGATTAATATGATATATTTATGGGCTTTGTCTATTATTTGTTGAGCCATTTTAAAAAGGAAAAAACATCAGAGTCTGAAAGTCTGCGTTCCTGCTATCTTGATAGTTGGAGTCTGTAGTGAGTTTCGTGTCAATTAAATTTATTATACTTAATTTTCGCCTATTTCAACCGTTTTTTGATTTTTCTAATCATCAATACCGGTTAGTCAAAAACGCAAAATGTACTTTTTCGCAAAAAAAAAAAAAAAAAATTCAACATCGTGTAGGTTTTTGCACCGTCGCACAGTGTGTTCCTTTATAGGGATCAGGGACAAAACTCGATATCTTAAAAACTAGTGGTCCTATTTGAATTCTGTAAACGCAGGGCGATTACTTATTGAAGTAGCTTTCTGAAGTATGACAAAAATTATTTAGAATAATAAGAAGGGGTGGGGGAGCAGGAGGATGCATTTCGCATAAATCGTTTTTTTTTTGTAAAAGTCAAAATATTGAGTTGATGTTCTCGAATAAATTGGGATAAGGTAGGATATTATTATCGCATTCTTAAGAGAGACAAAAAAGTCACGCTTTTATTTTTCAAGATCTTTACCGAATGATTTAAAAGATAATGTAGCCAACTTGTGGCGGGCGCAATATGATTTATTAAATTTGTCTAACTATTTGAAAAAATAATAAGAATAATTCAAATAAAAAATAAATCTGTATAATTTGAAATTGATATTTAGGTTTTTATTTAAAAAAATATATTTAACAAAATATCAATTACTTAGTAGGTAATGTATGAAATAATAATATAAACTATATTAAAAAAATAACACCAAATATACCCATTCTAATCGGAATAGGATTTCTTGCTCGGAGCTGTGTCATTCGTTATTGTACCTAAGTCAATACCTAAATCATCATTTTCTTGCTTTTTTAAATAGTTCTGAACTTCCTCGTTGCATTTCTTATATTTTTTTGAGCTCTCCTTTCTTTTTGAGGATATAAAAGGATCAGAAGTAAGTAAAAGAACACGCATGAGATCCTTATTCGTATCTGTTCTTGAACATTTTCTGGTGTGAGATAATCGATGTTTCCTAACCTCTTATGGCGAGCCTCAAGCGCATCCTCCGACAGTTCTCCAATGGGCCAACAAAATGCATCAATTATCTCACACCCATGAACAAGGACCTTATGTACCGTGTTTGGCATGTTGTACCACTTATAAAGGTGGATATACAAATTTCTTGCTTCTTCCAGCAATGACGCAAACCTTTCCATATCAATAGCGCAACCACTAGCTAACACTCCTAAGATGATCGCAAATTTCTCGATTAATTCCCTGTCAACCCCTGTGATATCTGAACTTGTTTGTGGATTGTGGAAAAAAAATCTGGCCATATTGCCATCATTTGAGGAGCCATACCCGGGTTTTGGTTTGTCAACTATTAGAGACAGCTTGGCTCTGAACTCTGCTTGGATTCGTTTTTTGTTTGCTTCGACTATAGCTTTGTTTTCAGGCCCACGAACCTGCCAAGATTTAATTGGCAGGCGGTATCCAATATGGAGTAAGCATTCAAAAAAACGAATCCAGCAGTGTAAAGTTGACAAACCAAACCGGTAATTGTCTACGTTAGGAGGACGGTTAATCCCTGCTAACGTGTTCATGTCCTTGGGTGTGGCTCCGCAAATGATGCACTTCATAGTTGAATTTGTTTCTGATAGAACGTTTCCAACACTGCCGTCCAACATTGTTAACATCATATCAACTTCAATTATATAAGAGTGCCCTTCTTTTGTTTTAATCACAATAGGAATCAAATTTTCAATTTTTGTTATTATTTCCTTTTCCGTATTCCGCACTAAATCAGCATTTTCCTTTTTAAATAAAAACTTGATCGGCCTACAATATAAAGTAGACGAGGGGCTCTCATTTTTCCACAATACCTTATTCGTTTCCATATCAATCAATCTGAGTGGCGTCATTGCTACAAGAAACAGAAATTCGTCGGTGTTTTCTAAGTCAGAAAATTTCTGCTTATATTGGCTATGCCCAGAACTGCCATCAAATCCCCACTTGCATATCACTTTAATCCGGCAATCTCTCTCTTCAAAATTTATTATTTCAAGGATACTTTCAGCTGTTTTCTGTAGAAGTTCTTGCAAATCAACTTCTGCATAAATTTCAGTAATAATAAATTGTGAAGGGAGGATAGCATTTTTTGTTTTCTGTAATTCTTTATAACTAGGAAGGCAGTTCTGGGCCTTACCATTAATAACAGACCTAAGTAGCAAATACTTTCTTACGGATATATCCAAATCTACCATAAGGGCTAAAGCTTCAGCTGTACTAAAACTAAAAATTTGTGGCGAGACCTCACTGTGATTGCTTCGAGAAACGACATTTACAGCAAATTGAAGTTCATTTGCAGATCTGTCTGTGGTTAGTTCCGCTACACGTCTTCGTTTTGTTTTCTTCGATGCCTCTTCAAATGGCACCCGTGGTGGCCGTCCAACTGAGCGACAAGGAGGTTCTTGTTCCTCATCCGAAGATGTGTTTTCTTCAGAATCATTATTTATTCTATATATAATCTTGTCTAACCAATATACCTGATTTTGTAAAAGTCGATTCCGAGATTGTCCTACTTTCTGCCATTTATTTGCCATTTTCAACCCAAACAACTGGATGTTTGGAAGGTTCATCTGTTATATCAATAAGAGATAATATCTTTTCATAAACCACCTGTTTTCTATTTCCTCTCGGTGCTTCTATCCACACATCAATCAAATCTCTATTTCTGACAATAGCACCATGTCCTAAAAAAAAATAAATCTCCCTTAGACGTGGCATGACGTGATTTAAACTTTTTATCAAAACTTACTATGGACAAATAAACAATAAATAAAAAAATGTTTAGGGTGATTGGAGGTGATTTTTGTAAAACTCTAAACAAAGTCAAAAGTTTAAAAAAAATTAAAAAAATCGGTAATAGTCACTTTAACTTAAAAAATTATCTAATTATAATTATATTTTAAATAAATCTATACATCAATATAATATACTTACCAGCCTCATTACCAGCCATATTGGAAAAGTTAAAATATTTAAATACTTCGACACAAAATTTATATCTTTCCCGAGCAATAAAACAGAGAGATTTTTCGCCTTCTTGACAGGTCTCGACATGTCTAACTTTAAAGTTGCTAAAATAGGTAAATCGCAGCCAACTTGATTAAAGTACTATACTTACGTGTTGCAGTGACTATTTATCTATCCAATGGTATAATAAAAGCAACAGAATTCTAATGTCAAAAATTATGTTTTTGAGTAATTTTGTCCATTTTTTGCCTTATGACACACATCATCCATGGTAACAAAAACAATAGTGCAAAAATATACAGTATGTTCCATTTAATTTTTTGCGAAAAAGTATATTTGACCACCCTGTATTGATGACTAAAAAATTTAAAAATGGATGAAATAGACGAGAATTGAGTATAATAATTTTTTATTGACACAAAACTCACTACTCCAACTATCAAAATAGTAGGTACGCAGACTCCTAAGCACTGATGTTTTTTAGATAAAATACCCAATGTCTCAACAACTAATAATCAAAACCGATGAGTGTGTATTTCAATCTTGTTCTTCTGAAAGGGTCTATCCGAATGTGCAATGAAAAGTAGAGCACTCCATTAAAAAAAGCAACTTTGATATGTGGGTCAAAATTGGGACATTCTGTATAATTATGAATATTTTAGAAGCATGCCTCAGGATACCATATACAGGGTGTTTCAGTTTATTGTTGCATAACTTTGAGATTCGATAGAACTTTTAAAATTAATGCATAAAGTCTATATAAACATGGGTCGAAAAATGCGTGGCTTCCGAAATACAGGGTGTTTACATTTACTTTCTAAAATAGCTTTTTTTAAATATTTCGAACAATATTTGACGATAATAGTGAAAATTGGTATACAAGTGTTTTTTGGTACGACAAAACGAACCATGGGCATAGTTTTACTGTAGCCGCTAGAGGGCGCTCTCTACTGTACCTGTAGTGTATTAAAATGACCAAAATTTTTTTCTTATTGCAGTTTTTTGATTTTTGAATAAAAAAACTGATTCTTCGCACTTTTCAACATAAAAAAGCTCTCCTGTGAGTTTTTGTTATAGTTAGCCGTTTTTGAGATATTTCGATTTTTAGGGTTCGATGCATTTTTAATTATTTATGTAAAAATAATATTTTCTTTTACATTTTCGATTTGGGCATTACAAGTAATTAAGATGATCGTTTAGATTGTGTTTTTAAACACAGCAATAATTCCCTCCAAATAAACACAAAAAACAGAATATTAATTTGTTTAATTTTCCAATATTATTTTTAACAAATTAAATTAATTATTTACAACTAAAATGCTATTGGATAGTTAGGACAAACATACAAAATCTAAAGTAGTTGCTCGAAATGTATACCCAATTGTTCAATACACAATTCACATCTACGAATGATCGAATGTGGTATAGCATTATTCAAATAAGGCCTTATTTCATCACATGCATTCCTGATTCTGTCTATTAGCATATCTCTTGTGGTCACGGGAGTCTGGTACACTTTTTCTTTTAGAAATCCCCACACAAAGAAATCTAATGGATTTAGGTCAGGGGATTGTGGAGGCCAGGCGACTGGTCCTCCACGGCCGATCCATCTTTCTGGATAATTTTCGTCCAGCCAGTTCCTAACTATTCTCGAATAATGAGCTGGACAACCATCAAGCTGGAACCAGGCCAATCTTCTTAAATCTAACATAACATCATCCCACATATTTGCATGTTCAACCTTTAAAAATTCCAAGAAGGTCGCAGCATTTAACCTTGCAGGCTAAAGGTAGGGTCCAAATAGTCAATTACGGTAGATACCAATCCACACGTTCACACTAAATTCATGCTGAACATTTCTTTCCCGAACTGCATGCGGATTTTCCTTGACCAAATATGTTGATTATGAAAATTTACCACTCCACGTCTAGTGAAGCATGACTCATCGGTCCATAAAACGTTACTTAAAAACTCCCTATTATTATCAGTTCTATCAAGAATCCACTGACAAAATGTGATTCTTCGTTCTCCATCCCCTGGCTGTAGTCCACAGGTTGCAAATGGTAAGGACGTCTATGGTCATTTCTAAGAACACGGTGAACATGGCTTGCTGAAAACTCACGCAGAATCATACGGGTAAATCTGCGCTGACGAACATTTATGTTTTGAGCCCTTTGGAGATTTCCAAAACCATTTTCAATTATTTGGCGATTCACTCTTACAAATACTGAGCGAGTTGGATGTCGTCTGTTTGGAAATCTTCGTGCGTATTCTCTGGCTTCTTCTGCTGCGTTTCTATTTACAAAGCCATACACAAAATGAACATCCATCAACTCTTGACTGGAGAATAAAAATGGCATTTTTATAAAACTTACAAAAAAAAAACAGGTAAAAGAAACTAAATTTCGTGCATTCACAGTTGCAAAAAAACGTTTCAGGTTTCAACAGACAACAAAACTAACTGTCAACTAATTGACGCTTAACCTTATTCTGCTTTCAATTTCAAAAATATTTGCAGGCATAGCCTACTTCTAAAAATTATCGAGATACTGACTTTTTAACGTTATTTTATCATAAATAATTAAAAATGCATCGAACCTTAAACATCGAAATATCTCAAAAACGGCTAACTATAACGAAAATTCACAAGTGAGCTTTTTTATGTTGAAAAGTGCGAAGAATAATTTTTTTTATTCAAAAAGCAAAAAATTGCACTAAGAAAAAATTTTCGGTCATTTTAATACACTACAGGTACAGTAGAGAGCGCCCTCTAGCGGCTACAGTAAAACTATGCCCATGGTTCGTTTTGTCGTACCAAAAAACCCTCGTATACCAATTTTCACTGTTATACATCAAATAGTGTTCGAAATATTTAAAAAAAAACTATTTTAGAAAGTAAATTTAAACACTCCGTATTTCGGAAGCCGCGCATTTTTCGACCCATGTTTATATAGACTTTATGCATTAATTTTAAAAGTTCTATCGAATCTTAAAGTTATGCAACAATAAACTGAAACACCCTGTATAATAATCGATAAATAGTCGTCTTTGGAAATTTTTGTTTATTAGCAATACTCCGTTCTCGCATAGTTGGGAAACCCTGTATGTTGATGGTTTTTCAATAGGGTGTATTGTCGGAGATATTTTTTATTATGTAAAGATAATATTACGCTTTACATACCCATTACAAAGGCTCCTTCAGTTTGTCCAATATCAACTAGTGGGCTCATACTGTCACCAACATCTTCAATAATATCTACCCGGAGAATCAGTTTTTGACCTGTCAGAATATCGACTTCCACCTCGGTTGCGCATAGACCATATATCGGGTAAGTTTGAACACCAGGGGAATTTTGCTGAAAGCTAAAAGTATAAACGTTATCAACAAAAATGTACTGTGATGTGTTGATGAATTTAAAATACTGAAAAATCTATCCTTCAGCCTTCAAGTCAAGACTACCTATGTATGAATGTATTAACTAATATACAAACATCTTGACAAACTGACTGATACCATGAGCTAAGGGTATTACAGGCAAATGAACGGGGAAATGTTTGATCTGTGAAATACACATATGTACTGATTGGTGCGTATAATCACTTCGGGAAGCGAATAAATATAGATAGATAGATGGTTTATCGTCTTCCGATCATAGATATGAATAAGACTCGTCAGATATGTTTCTATAAGTACATTATTATTACCAAAATTTAAGAAGTATAAATACATAAATTTAGAAGAAAAAAACAGCGGTTAAAATGAAAACAATCACAGTGGAAAAAGGTCATATATACAGGGTGTCCCAGAAGTCGACGTCAAGCCGAAACCGGGTAATAGGCAAAGTCATAACAGCTATCAGAAAAATATTTAAAAAAATTATAGATCTTTGAAAAAAATATAGAAATTTCACACCCTACGGCAGTCTGTCAACTCCTGTTACTACAAATATTAACTTTTTTTGGATTTTATTTTTACAATGTAATGATGAATAATGCATCTTCAAACTGGTGTCTCAACCTTACTGCCAACTTTTCTCGTTCAGGAAAAATTGCCACTTATTTCCCAACCAAGTATTCCAAAGTAAAACTTTGCTCAACCTTAACTGGCTGTACCGGAAAAAAATGTACTACGAGAGTTTGGCAAGTAACCTTAAAAGTTGGCGCATTTAATAAGGATTCCAAAATGGTGTAACATTTAGAAGATTACTCGTTATGTACATTTTTTATGCACAATTTTTATTTGTAGAAAAACTGATGAAAATTTTTCAAAATTTCCTAATTAAACAGCGATTATGAAAACGCACAAGGACCCTTAAGGATAACTGTTTGCACAACAGTGTGCGTCAAAATGCTGCTGATGATGATTTACCTTTACAGCAAATGCTCAAACTGTTTTCCTTCAGCCGCAATACACGCTCGACATCTGCTTAAAAAAGATCGGGTTATTAAACGAGCGAATCCACGGTTATTAACAAACTCAGCTGCTTCCAATAGTCTTTGCCGTAGCTCAGCTACATTTTGAATCGGCTTGAAATACACTTTTTCTTTTACAGTTCCCCAGTAAAAAAAATCTAACGGATTCAAGTCTGGTGACCGGGCTGGCCACGGTATTGTACCAGACCGTCCTATCCATCTGCCTCGAAAGTTTTGATCGAGATACTCTCTCACTGAGAGTGCATAGTGCGCTGGGCAGCCATCATGCTGAAACCACATGTCCCTGTAAATACTCAGTGGCACGTCCTCCAATAAATTTTCTAAATGATTTTGCAAAAAACCTAAATAAACCTCAGCAGTCAAAGTCTCTGGGAACTCAAACGGACCGATTATTTTACCATTTAAAATTCCTGTCCAATAGTTTCTTGAAGCGATATTGAGATTTATCTTCTTTCATCAAATGTGGGTTTGCTACGTGCCACTCGTGTAAGTTATGCAGGTTCATGTACCCATCTTTCTTAAATGTGGTCTCATCTGACCATAAAATTTTTTCAAAGAACCGTGGATCTTCCCTGTGTCTTTCTAACATTGTGCGACAAAAAGCAACTCGGGGCTCATAATCCCGGGGCAGGAGAGCTTGAACACGCTGTACGTGGTATGGATGGAGCACGTTTTTTTGCAAGATTCTATGGGCTGTACTTTTCGGCACACCTGTTTTTAGTTCTATTGCACGCACTGAAGTACTCGGGTCTTCTTCGACAGCTCCTAGCACCACATCTTCGTAAGGAAGGAAAGATCTTCCCTCACCGTGTGATTGGTTTGGTAGTTGGCCCTCTGAGAACAGTAAGCGGTGCACATTTGTGAACACTCGATGATCTGGATGACGAGCTGCATTCGGGTACCTCTCACAGTAAAGTCTCGCTGCAGCACTAGCGTTGCATCTGCATTCCCCATAAATGAGGTGCATGTTAGCATATTCTTGTACGGTGTACACGGACATAGCGGCACTGCACAATCACACTATCAAAAATAGTCTAAGGAAAGCAAATGTTGTTTTGAAGAGCAATTAAACAGTCCAAATCCAAATCAAAAGCGATCAACAGTCCAGTTCACGAATCCAAAATTAGTAACAGTACGAAATCAACAAGCACGAACATGTAAAGATGCGCAGTAAACGAAGGAGTACTGATCGGTATCAAAGTGTGCAATAGCAAGTAAGTGATGTGCTTTATCCATACCACATACAGCGTGTTCAACCTCTCCTGCCCCGGGATTATGAGCCCCGAGTTGCTTTTTGTCGCACAATGTTAGAAAGACACAGGAAAGATCCACAGTTCTTTGAAAAAATTTTATGGTCGGATGAGACCACATTTAAGAAAGAAGGGTACATGAACCTGCATAACTTACACGAGTGGCACGAAGCAAACCCACATTTGATGAGAGAAGATAAATCTCAATATCGCTTTAAGATAAACCATTGGACAGGAATTTTAAATAGTAAAATAATCGGTCCGTTTGAGTTCCCAGAGACTTTGACTGCTGAAGTTTATTTGGATTTTTTGAAAAATCATGTACAAAATTTATTGGTGGACGTGCCACTGAGTATTTACAGCGACATGTTGTTTCAGCATGATGGCTGCCCAGCGCACTATGCACTATCAGTGAGAGAGTATCTCGATCAAAACTTTCCAGGCAGATGGATAGGGCGGTCTGGTACAATACCGTGGCCAGCCCGGTCACCAGATTTGAATCCGTTAGATTTTTTTTACTGGGGAACTGTAAAAGAAAAAGTGTATTTCAAGCCAATTCAAAATGTAGCTGAGCTACGGCAAAGACTATTGGAAGCAGCTGAGTTTGTTAATAACCGTGGATTCGCTCGTTTAATAACCCGATCTTTTTTAAGAAGATGTCGAGCGTGTATTGCGGCTGAAGGAAAACAGTTTGAGCATTTGCTGTAAAGGTAAATCATCATCAGCAGCATTTTGACGCACACTGTTGTGCAAACAGTTATCTTTAAGGGTCCTTGTGCGTTTTCATAATCGCTGTTTAATTAGGAAATTTTGAAAAATTCTGTTTTTTTTCAAATAAAAATTGTGCATAAGTTAACGAGTAATCTTCTAAGCGTTATAACATTTTGGAATCCTTATTAAATGCGCAAACTTTTAAGGTTACTTGCCAAACTCTCGTAGTACATTTTTTCCAGTACAGCCAGTTAAAGTTGAGCAAAGTTTTACTTTGGAATACTTGGTTGGGAAATAAGTGGCAATTTTTCCTGAACGAGAAAAGTTGACAGTAAGGTTGAGACATCAGTTTGAAGATGCATTATTCATCATCACATTGTAAAAATAAAATCCAAAAAAAGTTAATATTTATAGTAACAGGAGTTCACAGACTGCCGTAGGGTGTGAAATTTCTATATTTTTTTCAAAGACCTATAATTTTCAAAACACATACATAAAATTCTTTTGAATATTTTTCTGATAGCTGTTATGACTTTGCCTATCACCCGGTTTCGGCTTGACGTCGACTTCTGGGACACCCTGTACTGTTAGAAAAAAGTGAGACATTACCTTTCCCCACCCCATATAACCCCAACTTGTCAAACTTTTTCTGAAAATTGGCAGGAGCCTCTGAAACGGCGAAAAACGAAGTTTGAGCAAAGCATCTGGACAGATTTTCAAACACCAGAAAGCTTTTTCGTCCTTGGCATAGTACCTAGTAACCTTATGTTAAAATTTTATCGGAATCCAAGCAGTACCTTCCAAGCTATAGGCTGTCCAAGTATTAACAGAGAGACAGACAGACAAACATACCGATGGACATGAATGACACTGTTTTTCGTGATATGCATGTGATATAACATCTTAAAAGCGTAATAGCTTATTTTCGAAAATTTTCGTGGCCAGCAGGCGTGGGAAATAAAATGGTGGTTGCTCTTTTAATTTACAACCCTGACCTCCAAACGACGTATCTGAAATCATTGACAAACTGCTTTTCTGTTCGGCATCGCTATTATGTAAAAAACCTATAAAACGTCAGAAAAAAAACCTATAAAATGTCATCTTGCAAACTAGGCAGTTTTTAGGGTGCAAACAGTCATACCACCAGTTTGCTCAATAGGATCATTGTGAGCGTCCATCTATGGAGGAATGGCTCAACTACACGCATAGTTGGTTACATACGTTTTGTGAAGCGAAGTAGTCTGTAGTTTTCATCTCTGAGAAGAAAGTTGGTTGAATACCAAGATCGGATCTGGATTATTGAGTGTATTGGTCTACATGTGTATAAAATCAGTGATATTTGCTGTGTGAGAGAATCATTACAGAATATTATGCTGCCAATGAAGTATATGTATTGGCTGCGCGCGACGGGTTATTTATATTTTGTGCTTTGTGAGGACAGGTTATGTTCAAAGTTATAAATTACGATTTTTTGTGTTTTCTTGTATTGTCAAAACCTTTGAGAATTACGGGAAATTACCACCGCACCCGTGTTGTGTATAATTACTGTTCGCATGTATATGACATGTAATTCCACAGTGTGCAGTGAATATCATTATTTCTCTCATTTTTTAAATTTAGCATATTTGCATATGTAATTTCCAGAATGAATAAGAAAAAGTGGATGCGCAACTAATTTCAAGCTTTAAATCTCACGTAAGTGTATTTGAGACAAAAATTCAATGGAATTATCATCAACACATATTATTAGCATACAAATCCTGAAGCAGATTTCACATCACATAAGAGCCAAGCATTGATAACTGAAGCCTCATGACATTTAGGCAAGACGTAAAACTACAAAGCGAGCTCACAACGTGTCCATCAGCTAGTGCTAATTAATGTCTTGTAGAAAAACCTACAGAAAGTCAAAAAAAACCAATACAATGTCAAAAATAAATCGACATAACGTCACTTTTCGAGATACGTAATACCCGTACGGGTATTTCATGTTGCTACCACAAATACTTACAAGCCATTAGCTGTCAACTGGACATTTTCGGAGTAGCACTGAGCAACCAGTTGTTCCCACGTTGGATTTGTCATTCGGTCCCTCACTGGCTTCATTCGAGCAATAAGAGTGTCACATGCAGTAATGATTCCCTAGAGTCAACATAAAATATTTTATAGATAATTTAAGACAGCAAAGAACATGGCAGTACTTTTTTGAGAAAAAGATTTTTGTCGAGAAGCTGTATCTACAAGATCAAAGGCAAACATTACGTGAAGTAGATCGACTGTATACTTCATGTGCCTTTTTGTTGGATGTTTCAAAGAAAACGGATGAGTCAAGTCGTTTCAAAAGGAGGAACCGAGTCCTGATTAGGTATGTTCACTTAGGTCCGTATCGTCAGTCGTCCCTACAATTGTAGGGCGCGTTTATGGCCTCCTTGATTGTCATAGTTTTCTACTTTTCCGTGTCAGCGCTCTATTTTGAGGTTATGTCACAAACATCTATTTGCATCAAATTGTGCTTGCTTTTGAGTTTTATCATGTTTTATCAGCCTGAAATTTCCTACAATTTAAAACAAAAACATATCTTAACAATAGGAGAGCGAGTGTAATCTAGAAATTTTTGAAGGAGAGAAAAGAGTATGACAATCAAGGAGGCCATAAAGGCGCCCTACAATTGTAGGGACGACTGACGATACGGGCCTTAGGTATGATGAATCTACCAAACTATACAAAATATACTAAGTGCGAACACCCAGTTTTAATGGTTTTATTTTAATAAAATTTTGTATAAGTACTTAATGAAGCATAATAAGTAAATGATAAAAATTTCAAAATGATTGCACTGCTTTAAAGCCCTTTGACCTTTAATAATGTGTGGATGCACCCTGATGTGCTACGCATTCTCCAACGCGCCTAGGCATGCTTCTGATCAGGTGGTCAATGTCCTCCTGTGGTATCTCATTCCAGGCAACCACCAACTCCTCTCGAAGTGCTTCTAGAGTCTGAGGAGGACGTTGCAAATTGAGCAATCTCCTACCTATCATATCCCACACGTGCTCAATTGAGGATAAGTCGAGAGATCTTGGTGGCCATGGTAACAATGTGACATCATTATGTTGAAAGAAGTCTATTGTGACTCTTGCAACATGTGGTCGGGCATTATCTTGTTGGAAAGTTGGATCTGCCAGGGTGTCAGGATAGGGTAAAAGATGGGGTTCTAGAACTTCGTGGCTTTAGTGCTGCGCGTTCGTGTTACCTCTGATGAAGATTAAAGGTGACCTGGAACCATAAGCTATAGCACCCCAAACCATAACTCCAACAGTGTGATTGAACATGTCTTTCAACAAAAAAAACTGTGGATTCCTCCTTTCACCACGTCGCCTCCTAACCCTGGCACGACCATCGTGCATGCCTAAACAAAATCGAGACTCGTCACTAAAGACAATACTGTTCCATTCCTGATCCCAGGGTGACCGTTGTCTGCACCACTCAAGGCGATTACGTCGGTGTTCTCGAGTTAAAGAGAGGACCCAGTGTGGCCGGTATGAAAACAAGCCAAAACTTCTCATTTGTCGGTAAACACTTCGCATGCCAATAGGTCTTCCGTGTTCTGCAAACCATTCATTTGCAATGGACCTGGTAGTGGAGAAACGGTCCCTTAAGGCCAATAATCTTAGGCGGCGATCTTCACGATCTGTTGTTCTACGGCGGCGTCCAGTGCCCCTTGCTCTTTGCGTACGGCCTTCTCGAAGCCATGCCTGACAACACCTAACCACAGTGTCTACACTTCTTTGCACTCTAACTGCAATTGCCCTAAAAGAAAGTTCAGCTTCCCGAAGCCCCACTATACGGCCCCTATCAAACTCACTAATTTGACGAAATCGTAAGTAGTGGAGCCTCATCTTATTCCATACCAGACACCATCCAAAACCCGAATTTTCAGCAAAACAACGCCAGACCGCATGATACCAGAGCATCTTTAGCCTTCATGGATCAACATCGCATCAACCGTTTACTTTGGCCACCACGATCGCCTAGCCTATCTCCAGTTGAACATCTCTGGCAAATGATAGGTCGCAATCTCTTGAATTTGCAACATTCTCCTCAGACTTTAGCAGCTCTTACTCATGAAGGTACAGTAGCCTGGAATGAGACACCCCAACAGGATATCGACCACCTTATCAGTACGATACCCAGACGTGTCAATGAGTGTATAGGAAATCGTGAATCCTCAACACACTACTGAACCAGCTTCTGCAGTCAGTTGACGAATCAAGCTGAAAATTTAATCATTTTACTAGTAAGAGACACTGAACATATATGACAAAAATTATTAAAATCGGACAAACATACAGTAGGTGTTTACCTTATTTTAATACCCCATTTTCGAAATTTTCCCCGATTACAATGCTTCTCGCAGTGGCGTAAGAAGTAAAAATGGGTAAGAAGAGGGTATCATTGAAGAAGTTGTGAGTCTTTGGAAGGTTAGCTCTCCCAGAGGTCGACATATTTTTATGGTATCAAAGATTTTTAGGAACAAATATGCAACTTCAGTTCTTTGCTAATACTATACTTGAACAAGAGATCACACTTTTCACGTCGATTAAGAACATGAAACATTCTACTTACATAAACAACTGCTTCACTTGTAAGACTTCCTCCAGTTGTCGACGAATTTGGAGCGACCAAATTTAAGCTTGGCTTTACTTGTACTTTATCAAGACCAACTCCGAACTTGAAAGCTGTTACTTGGGCTACCTGTAATACTGTATTTGTTAGTGGCGTTTTACGTCAAATGTGGAACAATTTCCTTAAAAGTTTCAATCTTCATTTGTTGATACATTTCCAGAAAGAAGAAATGTTGGAGTTGGAGAGAACAACAAATTGAAGTTTCTCAAATAAGTATTTAATTTGAGCCGCTCAGCTCTCACTCTGAAAGGGGTCAATAAAGAGCTAACACTTTAGAGCCGGCACTCTTTATTGACCAGTATTGACCTTAACTTCGTATACCGGGTATTTAAAATTCGGGATTTTAGAAACGGTGCGAGATACGAAATCGCACACATTTTCAAAACTCAAAGTACTTTCGATGAGATACGGACAAAAAAGCGAATTTTCCCAAAATTGTTTTGATATTCTCCTGAGAAGAGTTTATATTCTGATGCCAAAAGTTATATGTCATAATATGTCATACATTGACATTACTGAACATCAAGGAACGGAAATTTCTAGGTAAGCATTGCAATGATCGTTTTTATTTTTCTCTTACTTTATTTGAGATATGATTTAAAAATAAATTGCATACTGTTATTTCTCCTCTAGTCAAATGTTCGAATCAACGTTTCTTCTCTCGACTTCCAGCACCAACGGACAACGTTTTGAACGTCTGCACACACATAGTAGTACAATTGTTTCTGTTTTCTCGATGCTTTCCTTGTTATTGTATCATTTACTTATTATTAGTTATAAACAAATACCTTTATTATTATTATAAGTAGAAGTAGAATTACAAACCTTTGTATTTATGCCTTGTCCCATTTCAATTCCTCCATGGCAAACCATGATTCCTCCATCTCCATGTACAATGGAAACCAAAACTGAGAAATTACCCGAAAATTCTAAAATCCACGCCATTGGAACCAAGGACATGCCCCGTTTTCGCCATCGATTTTCCTGAAAATACATTTTTTTGAGAAATGTAGTTCATTCGAAAAAATACACAACGATAAATTATTAAATTATTAATAATTATTAAATTCCCGAAAACTTGGTAACCACGAATTTCTCGAAAAAAAGGGTCTAACAAAGCTTTATGGTGTCAAAAAGCAATTTGTCGATGACCTCAGGTACGACCTAGAAGATGACCTCAGAGGTCATTTGGAGGTCATCTTTGGAAATTAGCAGCCACAGTTTTTAACAGCACACTCGTGTCGAGATCGAGATTTGTAGTTTTTGAAAATCGGTCCAGTGGTGACAAAGTGGGAGGCGAAAAAAGAAAAAATAAAACTCGCTCAAACTTCGTTGTTTGAGGGTTGCAAATTGAGGATTGTAATTGCTACGTCTTTTATATAAGTCAAAAACTTTCTTACATTAAGTACCTTCTGATCCCGGTAGCAACGGGAAAATTAAATGTTAAAAGTCCGATGTACATGGTGTAAACGTTGAAATGGGTAATAGGGGGGCGGGGTCAAAACAAGTAAAAAAATTCATATGACCCATGGTCCAAAAGCCAATAGATTGTTGTCTAAATCGCTTTATAGTTTACAACTTTAAGGGCCAATTTCACCAACAACAGTCCGTTATTCTCCACCTATAGGGTAACAGTCCGTCAGATACAGCGAATGAGCTTCAAGTTCCAATCAACAAATTTTAGCAACCAATAGCTATGAAATGTTGAAAACAAAATACTGTCAAAGTATGAGATGACAGCTTGTCATTGAAACATCACCAGCTTATTGAATATTAAGAAATTACATATAATTCAGTCAAAATTTAAAGAAATGTTGGATTTTTGAATAAAATTCATGTTTTAATTACTATTAGTTGATTTTTTATTCATGTTTATATTATTTTCTTCAATTGATATGCGATACTGGGTATTTTTTCCTATGAATCTCTTGCAGATAGCCATTAAGCACCTACTTGATGACAGGCTCTACCAAAACATATTGCTCGTTTCCAAACATTCATTCATTTCCTTGCCGTTCATCAGAACCATTATGGCACCTTAGAATTTGTGGTTTCTTCATGAGGGGGCACCACCACAAATTTTTAGAGGCGTCATTCAGTATTTGAATGAACATTATCCAAATCGCTGGATCGGTCGAAATGCGCGTGATCCTCGAAAATGGCCAGCAAGATCTCCTAACCTCAATCCGATGGATTTCTGGTATTGGGGAGAACTCAAAGGGACGGTTTATGGGGCTGGTCCAATAACAACTGAAGCACAAAAAATTTTATTGCGGCTGAAATAATAAATGGACAACTTCGAAGACCTAGAGTAAGAAGAAACTGGGTTTGTCGTAATGAAGCTTTAGCGTTCCGCGAGGCTTTTGTGAATGATGACTTGATGGTCTTTATATCTACGTTACACATATCTTTTCCTGAATTTTATGATCACTAAATGTAACTACCCATTTAGCCTAACCTTTGATTTATGTTACTCAGCATATGATGGTTCTTTTAATATACCCTCAAGTAGATTGTCTCAGTACTTATTATGCATTGATATACAACAGACACGGACTGACAAACCGACATAAATGAGGAACACATACTTATGTGATGCGGATATCTTTAAGCAACAGGAGACTTATGAACTGAGGTATTGTGAGATCAATACTTTGATCGTTTAGGTAGTCGCTGATCCCGGTAATCTGTTAGACATAATGAGTCACACATGTTTGCCCTGCATCTGCCATGGAAACAGAAATATGATAAATTTGTTCCGTATAGTTTGATATGTAGTGGTCGAAGGTCCGATTCATCTTTTGAAACGACCAGAATTATCTCTTTTCTTTGAAAGCTCCGACGAAGGCATATGATGTATAGAGTCAATCTACTTGACGCCATTTTTTCAAATAGTCAGGTAGCTTATTGTATCATCAACGGTCCTACACTTACCTTATTGAATTGTTCTATGAACTGGCTTCGCGCAGAGATATCTGCCCAGGTTTCCATGTCCTTCCAGTAGTCCATGATTTTTGCATATCTATTTGTATTCGTGTTTGCTAATCTTACTTGCACCGGATCTAAGTTCATTTCATATGCAATGTGATCAAAAATACTTTCTATTGCACCCATTCCCTCCAAGGTACCTGAAATTTCATCGTATAGAGCAGGACTGTCCAACTTGATGTGGCCCAAGGGCCACTTCAAAAAAAAAATGCAGTTTGGAGGACCGCATTATAAAATCTTTCTATACAACATTATTACTGAGTTTTAATAGGTATATACTATACTATATGGTATACAAAAATAGTTTTTCTATTATTTTCATTTATTCAAAAAATATGAAATTACAAAAAAATCAGTGGGACATTTGAGGATGTTGGTTTTCTAATACTAATGCATCAATATTAACATTAATATTTGTTGTTCATAAACGAAGTAACTGAGTAAAAGACTTATCAGAAAGGGAACATCTATACTTTGACTTGATAAATTTCATGTTGGAAAAGCTGCTTTCGCAAAGATACGTGCTTCCCATCATTGATCCCACTGTAAGTCCTAAGTTTCGCAAGTTGGGGTATCGTTCTCCTGGCAGTAACTTAAAAAAGTCCAAGCCAGTTTCAGTTCTTCCTTGGTAAAAAGGATCTGATTGCAAATCACGCAATTCCAGTTGAAGGTCTGCTCTGCTTACGTTCTCAACAGAAATTGTTAGTGGCTGAGTAAAAACTGAAATGTCGCTTTCGATTTTTTTAAAGTCACTAAATCGATTTTTGAATTCTTCTGCAATTGTGTCAATGTATTTTATATGAGGTAAATATGAAACTTCCTCAAAATCCTTAATTTCTTCGAAATGTTCTTTACAACTTGGAAAAAATGAAAAACCATTTTTTTGTAATGAAGATTTGAAAAGCTTAATTTTATTCTTAAACCCATTTATGTGTCCAAATAAGTTGGCAATATTCTGCTGTTTTCCTTGTAGCTTCAAATTCAATTCGTTAAGGTGAGATGTCATGTATGTTAAAAATGCAAGGTCTGCTAAAAATTGTGCATCTGCCATTTGATTTTCCAGTTCCGTAGGACTTCACTTCATTTTTAAGGAAAATAGGAATTTCCTTGCGTAGAGCGAAAAATCGTTGCAAACACTTTCCGGCGCTTAACCAACGAACATCGGTGTGAAGTAACAAGTCCCCATATGTAACATCCACTTCGGCTAAAAAATCACGAAACTTTCTGTGAGTCAAAGCACGATTGCCCTCTCTAACAATATTAGTTATTTTAACAGCCACTTTCATGACATTTATTTGACATAAAGATATTCCACATAAGCTCTCTTGGTGAACAATACAATGTATCTTAGGACAGTTGATGCTGTTTTGTTTCAATAGTCCTGCAAATCCAATTTCAGTCCCTGTCATAGCTCTGGCGCCATCAGTGACAATACAGGAACATTTATCAAATCCCCCGTAGTCTGACACCAACTTATTCACAGCTTCAAAAATATCTGTACCCCTGGTTGTACCATGGAGAGGAATAAGGTCAAGCATCTCCTCTGCTACACTGAAGTCGTCTTGAATAGTTCGGATAAAAATTACAAGCTGGCTAATGTCAGACAGATCAGTGCTTTCATCCAGGCATAGCGAAAAATATTTACATTTTTCAACCACGTCACGCAATTTTTTGGAGACATGTTCATTGATATGGTCCACCCGTCTTGCAATTGTTTAATGCGATACTGAGACTGTTTCAAATTTTTCGGCAACTTTTAATTCATTGAATTGTTTCGCCATTTCTATTGCACACTTTTTGATAAGCATCCATCACTAAAAGGGTTTTTGCTTTGGCAATTTCGAGCGCTATTTTATAAGAGGCGGCAATACTGCACTAGTTTTTTTTTTGTATTCCATTATGATAGCCTGCCTCGAGTCCCCTGAATATTGCCGAAACGTTTTCTCGCGTAACGTAGTGTAATGTCGTTTCATATTATATTCTTTAGGAACCGATAGTACTTGCATACAAACAATGCACTGAAGTTTATTATTATTGTTTGAGATTAAATGTTCTGATTCCCAACGGTCATTATAAACTCGATGTTCGTTCGTTATTTTTCGTTTCCGTGAAGACATATTTCACGGAGTATTTCACTTAAAAAGGCTTTAGAGTTGCTGTGTACTGAAACGCACTAGCACTAGAACAAAACTGCCTGTCTCGCTTGATTCAACCTTCTTATATACGCGCCCGTGGCTTCTCGAATATTCGGGGATGGATTGGAGAGATCGATCCAATTTCCAGTAAATTCGCTGCGGCCTGCTATCGGTCGCCAGTGGCGTGACATGTTATTGTATTTTATCGTTAATGTAAGAATTGTGCATATTCGGTATTTTGCCGTATGTTGTACAGCCCTGGTATATAGTATACCTTGTGGAAATGAATGAAGACATCAAGAAAAAAATATTCCATTTATAAATCAAAATATACTAGGTGACATATAAAATTCTACACCCAGATTTATTTATTGAATTTTGATAAAAACTTATAAACATATTTGGATGTACTCCAAAAAGATGCCTTATGATAGACTTAGATAAGGTGGGAACTTAAGAACAATGATGATAATATCTTCGCCAATAATTGAATGATTTCCCACCGCGTAAACTTTGTTTTGAGTTTTTTCTCGAACTATCGACTTAAAATTTAATGTATAGAGAATATTCATACAGGACGATCCTTAATGATATGCGAATATTCAATGGTGTGAATCTACCTGGAAAATTAATGTTAGTTTGCTTTATAAACTATGGTCCAGAAATGTTTCGTTACAAAAACTCGGGGTGTTGAAGTTTTAGGAAAAAAATGGAAATTAATAAATATTTTCAGAACCGCTTCAGATATTTCACTAATATTTAGTACGTAGTAAAAGTTAATAAAGTTGCATATTCTTCAATGCAAAAATAATTTTTAGCTTTAACAGTGGCGTGCGTACGGGGATATTTTTCAAGAAAAAAATGGTTCGCCAGTAGTTTTTTGCCAAATAAAAATTATTTTTGAATTCCCCGTTAAATTTAAAACAAATGATCTCTCCAAAGCTGCTTTCTTTCGATGCGCCATTTTTGAGTAAAAAAATAAAAACCGTTCTAATGTCTAACTTTCAAAATTATTATATTAATTTAATCGGAAAAATTAAACATATTTGGGGGTAATAAACAACAACAGCTGACAACATAAACATAACATTAGGACTAACGAAATGATTACAAAAATTGTTGAAAATGGCCCCCTTCACTTAGTATGCATGCTTCCGCCCTCCTTCTCATAGAATTGCGCACTCGTTGAAATATCCTTCGGAGTGTTTTTTATTCTATCAATATCTGCAACTATTCTTTCTCTTAATTCCACAAAAATAAATCTAAACTGTTGAGGTCTGGGGACCTTGGTGGCCATTCTTGGGGCCACCATCATGCATGCACCACATATTGTTTCTTATTACTAACGGAACATCATCAAGCAGCAAAGGTAACTGTTGTTGAAGAAAATTGAGGTAAGTCTGTCGGTCAAGTCGTCCCGGCAAGAAGAGTGGGCCAATAAAGTGGTTGCGAATAATTCCTGCCCATACGTTAACCGAAAATTGGTGTTGGAAATGGGTTTCGGCTACGGCATAGGGATTCTCTTCTGCCCACAAATGATTATTATGGAAATTATGAATGGCATTTTGAGAAAAATTAGCTTCGTCCTTGAACAGAATCATTGATTCAAATTGCGAATTTTGTGTAATTTTTTGAAGATACCACTGACAAAAAGTCACACGCATTGGAAAATCAATGGGAAGTAATGCATGTACTGTTAAAATATGGTAAGGATATAACAAAAAATCCACTAAAATTCTCCAAAAAATTCGATAGCAAATATTTAAGTGTCTAGCGATTCTCCTCGTACTCGTTTCAGGATGTTTTTCGACTTCGTGCAGCACTGCTTCCTCAATTTCAGGTGTTCTTACACTTAGAGGTCTACCTTCAGATGTTCCTTTTCGGACAGAACCAGTTTCAATAAGACGACGATAAATATTAGAAAAGGTTCGACTATCTGGCAAAGCACGATCGAGATATCTCTGGTGATGAATCCGTCTGGCTTGCCACCATTATCGTCGGCAAGGCCATATACGTAATGCATTTCCGTCATTTCTGCATTTGAATAATTTCACCATTGTTAACAAGATTGTAAAAACTAAATAATGAAAAAGATGTCACAGCGAACAGATCTGAATAACAGAGACTTGTCAGATGTCAAGAGCCAGTGACATATTTCAGAGTAACTATATATTTATTGCTAAATTACATTCTTCAATTATTACATTAATTTTCTCGGACAACAGAACGGTTTTTATTTTTTTACTCAAAAATGGCGCATCTAAGGAAAACCAACATCATTTGTTTTAAATTGAACGGGGAATTCAAAAATAATTTTTATTTGGCAAAAAACCGTTGGTGTATTATTTTTTTCTTAAAAAATGTCGAAGCCAATACCCGTACGCACGCCACTGTTAAAGCTAAAAATTATTCTTACGTTGAAAAATATGCAACTTTATTAACTTTCACGTATCAGTGAAATATCTGAAACGGTTATGAAAATATTAATTAATTTCCATTTTTTTCCTACAACTTCAACACCCCGAGTTTTTGTAAGGAAACATTTATGGACCATGGTTTATAAAGCAAACTAACATTAATTTTTCATGTAGATTTACACCTTTAAATATTCGCACATCATTAAGGAACACCCTGTACATTACCTGACAATTACCAGTATGGGTTCATGAAAAATAGCTTGCAGCTGCAGTTGATTTTGGGAATTACGAGTATATCTCAAGGGCTCTGGATGAAAAATTAGTGGTTATAGCGATGTTTATAGACTTAAGAAAGGCATTTTATGTAGTAGATGTCAATATATTATTAAATAAGTTGTAGGACGCCCTTATGGCCTCATCGATTTTGATAGTCCTTTCTCTCCTTAGGAAGGGCTGGGATATTTCTAGATTTCTTCTGTTCCGTGTCAACGTCAACGCGCTTGTATTTTGAGGCATTGTTTTCATCTTGAATTGTAGGAAATTTTAGGCTATATAACAGATGATATAAATCATAATTATGAACAGTTT